GACCATGAAGTATCTAGAAAAATAAAATCCACAGAGATTAAAAACAGGAACATGAGAAGGTTATATTCTAAATGGTTATTACCTTGGAAAGTAGAGACACGATCCTGTAACGGCTTCAAAACTGCTTAGCAATTCTGCTCATGAGTATGTATGCTCAGGAAATAGGTACCAGGATATTAATCATGGCTTAATAGGTAGTGCACAGAAGTGGAACAAAATGGAAAATTCTTGACAGAATACTGTATATCTGTCAAATGCAACAAATGACATTAACATTTATTAACAGATCTGAAAAATGTTGAAGGGGAAATCAAGTTGCAGCATGAAATATAGTACAATGATTATTTGTAAATTCTAATTAAAACTTCCTTCACAAAATTCAGTACTATATACTGGTAATGGATACATATATGTATGTAAATGTTTTTGAAATGATTTGGAAGGATACAGATGATGTGTAGAGTCAAGAAGGGAAGGGAATGAGTATGTGTAGGAGTACTGGTTTAAGGGGTCTTCAGCTTTTTATATAAATATCCATTTCTCTTTAAAAAGAGTGCAAATAAATGTAAAGATACTAGTTGATTCTGGATTGTGGTATGTGGATATCTTGTCTTTTTTGGGTATTTTTCTGTATTTTTAAAATTTCTCAAAATTAATAAGAATGGGAAAGAGGATGGGAACACTGTACCTGTAGAAATCATGTTATAATGGATTAATTCCCGGTCAAATCCTTAACTTTTTATAGAAAATATTCCTAAAATTGTATCAACGAGTGAATGCACTTGCTCTCTATGTAATAAGAAATTATCTGTTTTATTAAAATTTAAAAAGACTGCAAAAAGAAAAAAGAAAATTGAGCTGCAATAAGCAATCTAATGCAAGTAACCTTATGGTAAAAGGATTTTTTTTCGTCTGCATAGATGTCCGGTAAAGGGAGTACAGGATCAAATGGGAGGTCTAATTTGAGTTCTTTGAGGATCCTCCATACTTCCTTCCAAAAAGGTTGTATTAGTTTGCAGTCCCACCAACAGTGTCAAAGTGTTCCCTTCTCTCCACATCCACACCAGAATCTGCAATTTAGAGATTTTGTGATGTGGGCCATTCTTTCTGGGGTTAGATGATATCTCAGGGTGTTTTTAATTTGCATTTTTCTAATAATTAGGGACGATGAGCATTTTTTCCATCTTCTTTAGAGAAGGTTCAATTCATCTCTTTTGCCCAGTGATGTAAAAGATTGTTGGGTCTTTTTATGTTGATTAATTTAAGTTCTCTATAGATCCTAGTATCACAATACTATTTAGCCATCAAGTTTTTGTCTGATTCAGTATGCAAATATCTTTTCCCATTGTGTAGGCTGTCTGTTTTCTTTGGTGGTTGTCTCCTCAGCTGTACAGAAAATGGTTGCATTTTAATATGTGTAAATTACACCTCAATAAAAGAAAGCAGGTAGGAGGTCGAGGGTGAGAAAGGTCCTGAAAAATAGAACTTGAATGTTAACCACAAAAACTCTAAACCTTTGAACTTTACTATTAGCAGCTCAATAAAAGTCGCGTATCAGGAAAGCCCTGATATTCCTAACTGATCAATGAGAAATTACTCAAGAGGAAAGGCATAATGGTTTAAATTGTGTTGGACTTCTGAACAAACAGGTTCACAGAATGCCCTGTCAAATGCAGATGAAAGGCTATAGATCAGGGGTCCTCAAACTTTTTAAACAGGGGGTCAGTTCACTGTGCCTCAGACCGTTGGAGGGCTGGACTGCAGGCCCTGGGATGAGTCTGCTGCTAAGCAGGACAGGTAGCCGTGGCAAAAACACCCGGTGGGCCACAGTTTGCGGACGCCTGTTATAGATGTTTGGGCAATAGTCTGCGGGAGATATGTGATCACAACTGGTTTAAGGACATGGATGAGGGCAGCCAGGTAGCAGATCATCCATGAAAGAACTTGGTGCGCATGGTGCTGGAGGTTCTGGACAAATGGTGATAGTTTGTATTAAATTGTTATCCCAGTGACATTGATGTCAGGTTTTGGCTTTTAGTTTTTAAGAAAAACAAGATTAAAAATAAGCTTATTGCTAAATATATTACCTGATAAAAAGTTAGCAGGTTGTTAGTGTGATCAAATTCACCTGAAGTTTATAGTGCAAGGCTTTGAAAACTAAGAAAAGGAAAGCTTAGTCCTAAGGCTTAAGTGTGCCCAGCATAGTTACAGTTGTGGGCATACATGATGTGGATGTTTCTTCCTAAGGTCCTCTAAGCCCAGGATGGGCATTGTGGACCTTTGTGGGGCCTGCATGACCTCACCTTGCCCACAAAACCTTACCTCACTCGGCTCTCAGCCACATCTACCATTGCGTCCTTCTCAAAGAGTTGTTTGTGCAAAAGAGCTAAACACTTAGAACACTGCTATTCAGGGGCCTCCCCAAACAGGCCCTTGTTGCATATTGTTGGAGAAAGCAGTTTCATTCTCTTATTGCACGAAAATTGAAAAAATTAAAATGTGAAGAGAGATTTCCTCCAGAGCTGAAAGTTTCCCCTCCCCAACATTGTTGGCTTAGCCTACATTTTGCTCTTTATAGGTTTTAAAACATTTTAAACTTTAGTTAGACTAAAATTTAAAACTTAAGTGACAATTTGCCTGATGGTCTTTTAGAATGGTATTGTAAAATGTAGCTTAACTTTTTCTCACCTATATATATTTTTTATGTTGAGGTGCCACTGTGCCTGATACTGTTGTATTTCTTTTTAATGAGGGAAACTTTGGCCATTTTGTAAACTCTGAATACTTCCCATTCCAGTATTTGCTGTTACTATTTTTAAAGATAACTACATTCTAGCACTTAAATTTTATTTTTATTACTATTGTAAACAAAAACACACACACCCTATTGTGTTTTGGATGGGGCTTGGTTTACACTGACCCAAATCTCTCATGTGTCTAGATCTCCCTGCTCCTTTTGTTGACACTTGTGAGACTCCTGATTAGGATAGAGATAATAGTGAAGGTGGAACAGAGCGGGGCAGTATTAGGAATTCAGCCCAAGAGTAGCATCATGTTCTGAGTTTATAAGCAAATCCTTGGTAGATGTTACCCAAAAGCTATTGCCATATATTCTTAAAATTAAGATTTACATCTTAGAAATAGCCATTGGGATGTTACAACTGCTTTTTTAAAAGAAGCTGTCTGAAATATCTTTGTTCACTGGTCTTCTTTATACCGAGTCCTTTTCAGCTGTCACTACTCTAGGCAGTGAGAGAGGCTGGCACTCATCCATCATCTCCCCACTGGGCTGCAAAGCCCCAAGGGAGCAAAGTCCTGTCCCCTGTCGTGTCCCAGTGCCTACACCTGTGCCAGGCACACAGAAAAGACTTAGCAAATATTGGTAAACTCTCCTTTAAGTGGAATAAAAATATAAAGGAGCATTCCTGTACAGTTTGTGAAAAGGATAACTTGATGGGATAGTAGGAGTTTGTTTTATTTTTATATTTAAGCACATTTAACACACAATTCCCGTTCTGTCCTTTACATCTATGAAAATTGAAGTGCAGCCCTAAATCTGTATGTCTATACGTTTCAAATCTACTTTTTTGTTCTTGATTTTCCCAGAAAATATTTTCCGAAGTTTTAAAATCAGGGGTGGAGTTTTGTTTTGTTTTGCTTTGTTTTTTAAGAGATGTGGTCTATGTGTTCCCCAGGGTGGCCTTGAACTCTGCCTCAAGCCTCCTGAGTAACTAGTGCTATAGGTGTGAGCTACTATGCCAAAATGCTGATTTTTAAAACAGAAATGTATTAGTATTACTTCTTCATGTGCTATAGGAGTTGGCAAGAGGGTATAGTTCATTCTAAGGTGCCCACGGAACAGTCCAGCACCAAGTACTACATATTACCAAGGTTAGCAGCACCTCCCCATGCAGAATTGACCCTTAGATGATAGCCTACAATGAAACGGTAGAGTTTGTTTATGCTTCCTTCAAATGTAAGTTTTAATTTGGTATTTTGCATCTTTGAAGTTAAGTTTCAAATATACTGATAATAGTTGAAAAGGCACTCTTGGCTCGGCGCCTATAGCTCAACCGGCTAAGGCACCAGCCACGTACACCTAAGGTGGTGGGTTCAAATCCCCAGCCCAGACCCGCCAAACAACAATGATGGTTGCAACCAAAAAATAGCCGGGCGTTGTGGCGGGCGCCTGTGGTCCCAGCTACTTGGGAGGCGGAGGCAGGAGACTCGCTTGAGCCCAGGAGTTGGAGGTTGCTGTGAGCTGTAATGCCACGGCACTCTGCCCAGGGGGACAGCTTGAGGCTCTGTCTCTCAAAAAAAAAAAAAAGGCACTCTTAACTCACTAAGTGTTTGGATGCATGAGTGTTGCCTGAATTGGTCATGCTACACTCAGTGATGTGAGTAGGGAAGGTGTCTGACATACAGCAGTTGCCAGTGATGGGAAACAGGACTGTGTGTAGAACATGAAGGAAGAGACAGGGTGGCACCATGTTGAGGGGGTGCCAAGTGAGTGTGTGTAGGTGAGTTTGTCACACTGTAGGCTCTGTCCTTCCATCCTTTGCACAGCGCACAGAACACCACTGTTGCAGATGCAGTTGGATAGGAATATTCAGTTTTCTGAAAATATGATGAGTTTAATGATTTGATTAGCACAACTTATTTTACATTCTATTTGTCATAAAAGAAACACGAGCCACTGAAGTTCATTCCATATGTTTGTGAAGAGATAAAATTATCTTTCTGATGATATGATGTACAAGTTCTGGAGTCCCAGACACCCAGGTTCAGACTGGGAACCTGCTCTAGACAGTTTGATCCTGGGCAGAGTGATCTTATGAATTTGAGCTTCCATTTCTCCTGTATGAGGCAAGGTGGTAGTGTACCTAATTCATAGCTGTCGAGTGGAGCTCGACAGCACCAGTGAGGTGCTTTGCCTGGCACCAGGCACTTCATAAACGGCACAGATCAGGTCATGACAGGGTTTTCATTTTCTTTTAAAGGTGAATCAGGCCTAGGAAAATCAACTTTGATAAACAGCCTGTTCCTGACTGATCTCTACCCAGAAAGAATCATACCTGGAGCTGCAGGTAAAACAAAATTCCTTGTTTTATTACTTTTAAGTGTGATTCTACCTGAAGTTTCTATAGGGTGTGTGGTTAATATTTTATGCCTTAACTCTGTGTTCTGTTGAATATGAGGACACTGTCAGTGGGTAGGGGAACAGCTGCCCCTGAGGTCTCTGGATCTGGGTGATAGGTCCTTGGATTCGTCCTCTCAAAGTTTGTTCCTTTGCCTATAAAGTGTAATAAGTACTTTCTAATACTATGCATTTGATGGAAGGATCAAATATGAATGTTTTATATCACTAAAAATGCAATGGCAACATGATAGTATCTGAGTAATTTGGAACCCATAAAGCTTGTTTAGAGAATTAAACACATTAAGTCAGAACTTAGCACGTGGCTGCTGCAAGAAGACATGGACATCTTTCTTTTGCCGATATTTTTGGGTTTGATTTTTAAATGAATGCACAGATTGTTTTCTTAATCCCAGGTACAGAAATTATAATTTTTATTATTGGCATTTTTACTTTCCTAAGCAGCATATTAATCTTAGCTTTGACATTACTTTTTCTGACTCTGGGATTATTTTCACACAATGTTTATGTTATCTGTTGAGAAGTGACCTCCACAGAGACATAGTAAACTGGCAAGTCATTTGCTGTAAGACTGCTACAGCCGGGACAGTGTAACAGGTAGTTTCCTCTCTGCACACTGAAGAATTTTTAGGTGTATTCTCAACACAAAGTTTGTTTCTTTTCTAGAGAAAATTGAAAGAACTGTCCAAATTGAAGCTTCAACTGTTGAGATTGAAGAGCGGGGGGTCAAGCTGCGCCTGACAGTAGTGGACACCCCTGGCTATGGTGATGCCATTAACTGCAGGGACTGGTATGTACCCCTGGGGGAGTGCCCACATGGGCCCAGGGCACTTGTTTACATTTATTTATTCTAATGTGTTTAAGTTTATAGGTAATGTTAATGAGTGATTGTTAGGTTTGGGATACTGTGTATAATAAAACAATGAGACAATTTAAAGCACATTAATATAGACTTTAAATAAGGAATTTTATAGAAAACAAAGTATTTTTCCTCTAAGAGCAATCTCATGAGGTCTGAGATTGCAAAGCCAACCATCCATAGATTGCTAGGATGAATGAAATGCCTTGATTTGAACTGTAGCTAGTGGACAAGATACTGTAAAAGTCCTTCCCATGTGGGAGGAAGTGAAATCTGTCAGAGTCACTGGAGACATGGCGACCATTGGTGACTACTCACTGGCAGAAGGAAGCAGTGTGTGGCCTGCACTGTGTAGGGACCACCGATCTCCTTGTACCACCCCACCCCCAACCCGCTCCATCAACATTATCAATACTAAGCGAGATAAGGTAGCCAAGGGAAAGGTCCTCCTGCATCAGGAAGCTCTTTCCTTACCAATGTGTTTCCCATCTCAGATGACCGTGCTCTTGACCCCTGTCCTCTACCCTGCCCCATGCCCTTCACAGTCACACTTCTTGAAAGCATTGGTACCTCCTGGGGTGTTAGTCATCTCTCAGGTGCTTCATAACCTGTTCCATTCAGGCTGCTGGCTCCAGGCACTAGGGGAAAGTTAACACTTGGCACAGTTTCCAGAAACCTCCATTTTGCCAAATCTAGGAGTCAAGTCTTTAATCATCTTGAAAAGGCACTATTAAATCATACATATGTAGTTGTTGGGAGGTGGGGAAAAGGGAGAAAACTTGTTTTCCCTTTGAAATTAGGGACTGGCTGTCTTGTGTGCCCCCTAATTACTGTTGATGTCTGTGTTTCTTTTAGTTTTAAAACGATCATCTCCTACATCGATGAGCAGTTTGAACGGTACCTGCATGATGAGAGTGGGCTGAACCGGCGGCACATCGTGGACAACAGGGTGCACTGCTGCTTCTACTTCATCTCACCCTTCGGCCACGGGTATGTAGCTATGCACGCACAGGCCTGCCTTCCTGCCACAGCTGGCATGCGCCCTGCTGTGTGCGTCATGTAAGAGTTAAGATAATTTTGTGAGAGAGGAAAATTTTGCATGATCTCCTTAATTTTTCTTTAAATATGTGCCAATTCTAAAATTATTTCTAGACTTAAACCCTTAGATGTTGCATTCATGAAGGCCATACACAATAAGGTGAACATCGTACCTGTCATTGCAAAGGCAGACACTCTCACTCTGAAGGAACGGGAGAGGTTAAAGAGAAGGGTGAGTATGAGTACTAGACGGGCCTCCTGTTCTCCTTCAGGGTGACCCAGAGCCAGCTTCCTGAGAGGGAAAGGGAGGAGGGGAGTCCACAGGGCATTAGCCTGCTCAGTGTGGGGACGCAAGGTTGCAGAATTGGTCCTACATTTTGGTGGTGGTTTTCAAGTACCACCTAATATTTGTAGTTATTTTTTAAATATTTGCCTTTGTGAAAGAATCAAATTTCTGTTGTTCAAATTCTCAGGTTAAAATACCCTCAGTGAATAAGAAGTGCAGAATGGTTCCATGATGCATTAGGTGAACGATACAAATATGAAGTACGTTCTCTCCATGAAGTTTTATTATTTTACCTGAATTCTGTAGAGGATCCATTGCAGGATAGACCCTAAGGCTTTATTTGTGAAGGGGCCACACTGCAGTGTATGCCCATTGATGCCCTGGCGCCCAGAGGCCCTGTGCTCACCTATCCTCTCTGGTGCCCCACTTCAGTGCTCTCTGTCTCTATAAAGCCTCTGTTGCCTTTTTGATAGGTATTTTTTTTTGAAATCATTTACGTTTTTCTGATTGCTCCTAGGAAAGTCCAGCTAGTTCATACACACTAAACTCTGAAAATAAGAATTCTTAGCTGAGTGTAGTGGCTCACTCCTGTAATCCCAGCTGGAGGCTGAGATGGTAGGATCGCTTGAACCCAGGAGTTTGAAGTCAGCCTGGGTAACATAGCATCTCTAAAAAGTATTTCTAATTAAGGAAGAATTCCTATAATTATCAACAGAAACTACTAACAGTTTAAGCAGATGTCCTTCTAGAACATTGTCCATTTAATGTTTTTGTTTTCACTGAATGGAATCGTACTGTAATACTGTTCTGTCATTTGACTTTTCAATTTAAAAATAGATTTAACCTTCATGGTCTGTAGCTCTGCCATAATTCTTATTGTATGCACAGTATTCCACTGTATAATTTACAATTTGGCTCATTCCTGTTAACAGATATTCAGCTTATTTTTTATTTTGCTCTGGCCCCTTGTAATCTCTGACCACATTTCCTATCACCTTGCTCTTGCTTTTTCCTCAGACCAGATGTAACCCTAACCTTAGGGCCTTTTTGCTGTGACACCCTCTGCCTATAGAGCTCCCCAGATGTCTACATGGGTGGCCTCCTCTCATCACCTGCCTCCAAGTTCTGAGACCAGGAATGTTTGCCTTGGTCACTTGTGTATTTCAAGAGTTTGGAATAGTTGGTGGCGTAGGTATTACTGTTATGACATTGGTTTTATCTGTCTTCTTACAGTTGTGTGAGTGACATGAATTCTTAGGAAATTAATACATGTTGAAATTTTTGAAATATGGCTGAATTTACCCCACATAGGTAATAATTTACATTCCCAAAACATGCTCTTCTCTCATCCCTGTAACTGTCCTGGCTATGTTGCCAGATTTTGAGATGTGTTTCTCACATGAGTACTTAAATCCCACTTTGATTTGCAGCTCTGTGATCGCTGGTGGGAGTCCTTTCTGGTGTTTGATTCCAGCCGATGTATTCCATCAGGTCATAGGGCTTCAGCTTTCTTTTAACTGTTTTCTATTGGTTTTTTTCTTTAATTGACTTAATAGATATTCCTTAATTTTTTAGATATTTTAAATCATTGTTGTACATGATTTCTTCCCTCTTCATTTTGTGTTTTCATGTTTTTCTTGTGTCTTTTGCTATGGTAGGATTTTTAAGCTGTATGCAATTTGTTGGCTTTTTCCTTTATTATCTCAAGT